TGGAAAGCGTCACAAGTTGTCACAGGCACTTATTTAGCCAGTCTGGCTGTGAACGTCGATCTCGTCAATATTCTTGCCCTGGACTAGCACTGTAATCACAAAGGCACTAAACTCTTGTGCTTGATTGAGAGACACTGCATTCGGTGCAGAACATAGTTTTCTTCCTGCTCTGGACAGGGGCAATAAATTTGAGGGATGTATTTTCGCCCACAAAATTGTATTTAATTACAATTGTATTTTGAAATACCCACGTTTTAGTATTTAAATACACACGTCAAATACATTACCCAATTTGTAATTAAATACAAATGCGAAATACACAAAGTATTTGAAATACGTAATTCAAATACTTGTATTTGAAATACTGCTCAATGCGAACCGGTTTTGACCATGAAAAGGCTGTCAAGAGAATACCACTGGTCGGGGGAGGTGGAGACTTTAGAGGTAGGAAGGGACTAGTGGACTACACTTCCAATTGAAACAACTTTATGAAAGGTGGTTCCATAGCCGAGAAAACTAAGTTGTCGGCCAACACACGGTTTGGCCGCCAAAGGATTTTTGAGGTCAGCTGTTTTGTAATAACCTGTTGTGCGAGGTGCTGATTTTCGGCGCACAGGTACTTTGACATGACCGTCTTTTGGATCAAAGTGGCAATGCAGGCGAGTTGGTTCATCGTTACAAAATGGAATCAGCGTTTCAATAAACGTTCAGTTGAAGTCCAGCGCTTGTCCTGTCAATTTCTCTTCCTTGTGTCTTCGTAGTTTGCGCGCTGATTCCATTTTGTAACCGTCTTTTGGCACGACACTTATTATAACAAAACGAGTTGGCATAGCGAAACCAGTTGGAAATTTAGTTTGGGCGGCGTAACTAAATGGGAACTGGCTTTGACCGTCAAAGGCTGTCAGATAATACCACTCATCGTGGGAGGTGCACACTTTGCAGATAGGAAGGGTCTAGTGGACAGTACTTCCAGTTCGAACCGCTTTGCAATAGATGGCTCTAAAGCCGTGAAAAAAAAAAGTGGTCTACAGAAATCGGGGTGTCAGCGTTTCCACATCCAAAAGGAGGCTGATCAAGAAAGAAAGCACACCACGTAAACTTCCATACACAAACGTGGATTCTCCAGTGATTCCGAGTTTCATTGTTGTTTTCTTTAGATTTATATTTGTCACTTTTTCTACCGTTTGAATCTTTCTTCATGAAGTACAGATTCCGTGCCATATACTTGTCCGGAAATATCATCGACACATACGATGAGGACGAAACTTTTTTGGAGGGCATTCCTCCAACGAAATTAGCGGCGAGATGTTTTGGTGGCGCCCTCCTATGGTTCCCCCTTGTGACGTCATTACCTTGCAAACAACAAGTTCGATGGTGTTTGTTATTAGCATGGTGGAAGCTTGAAATCATTGCGCTCTCAAAGGAACACTGCCAACACCGTCGAAATTAAAGTTCTTTTATTCCTCTTATTTCCGTCGATGGTATACTCTTTCCGACGTCATAGTCAGCTTTTGAGCCATTCGTGGAAGGCCGACCACAGCGACGCTTTCGGTCGCGCACGTCGCCAATTGGCACTGCATACCCGCGAGTATGGGATGGCATTTCAGTTCGTCCCATCGGCGCTGACACATGTAGGCGTTACTGGTACGAAAACAAACGCAGAGCGCAAAGCGGCACTGTAGAATATGTCAGCCGTGCCGACACAGTGGCAGACATGATCGGGAGACCAAATTTCTCGCGTCGTACGGCACGGCTCCATCGTTGTCGCTGTCCCACAAAACATTGGCGAGGTGAAAAACTGTGAAACTTTGTCTCCGCGAGATACGACGCATCACTATTGAAGCACTTATTGACGCAGCCCAGGCAGCACTTCATGCTGTGAACCCAGCGCAACCGCACCACTCCGACTTCAATGCGTACCAACGTACGCGGCGTGGTTTCGTTTTCGTTTTCTCTGGGGTTCTCACGACCTACCTTCGGTACCGGCCGCGCGGCGGCGCGCCAGTCGCGTTGCACGGAGTGTATAGGATCCAGTGATTTTAGCCATGTCGGGCTACACAACGGCAGGAACGTCTTTCAGTAAATTCTGCTTTATCGGTGGAAATAAGAAGGATATGAGACTGTCAACTTAAACGATGTTGATTTTAAAACGCAATTACCCCCAACCTCCTCGATATTTTTTGGAGGCCATCAAGCATGTTGGTCGCAGCTGATGATCTTTGCCGTGTCGTCACACGTACGAACCAAGATCGTATCCGCGCGCTCTCTCTCGAGCTACTTTTGTTTGGTGCCTAGGGAGTGGTAGGGATTTTTCGCCTCTTCACAAAGAAAAAAAAAAGGCTGTCTTCTTACACCCCTTGTCATATATAATACACCGCAAAACTCCAGTCCAACGTACAGCGCACTGACGTTGAAACGCCGGTACCAACTTTCACGAGCGGCTTGATAGCCGAGTTGTAAAACTTATTAAAATAGCTAATGTATGTGTGACGGACCGAAATAAAGAAATGCAAGCTGTTTACAACTCCCCGTAACTCCGAATTGGAGCGCAGCTTTTGTGGAGGAGGAGGGTAGGGTACTGGGGGGAAGGTATACGCCTCCTCCCTCCTCCTCACCTCCTCATCCTGCCTGCTACTCGTGAACGAAAGGGCTCCGGTTCGAAGCCGGCCGAGGGACAAGAGACAAAAGTATTTTAAAATAATTTTTCGGAGTAATGAAAATTCGGATTCGTCCCCCCTGCCCATCCTCCCTGCTCCCCTCCTTTATCCTCCTCCCCTCACGAAGGTCGCGTGATCTCGGGGGGAGGGGGGGGGGGGGTCACGTGACCCCCGGACTTGGGGGGGGGGGGGGGGGCACGCGACCTGGGGGTGTCGCGTGACCTGGGGTGTCGCGTGACCTGGGGTGTCGCGAGACCTGGGGGGTCACGTGACCTCACGATTACGCCGACGGCGACGCTGCTCAAGCCGGAAACAGGCGCCTAAGAGCTGCGCTCTAAAAAGTAATCGGAGTTTTCTTGGCCCTTCAGCAAAACCTCAGTGTTTTTTTTTCTCTAGTCTTTGATACTTAAATTTTAGCTGATAAATGTTATACTTATTTCACCGTTAGCAAACCCTCATAAAAGTTAGGGCCGTCTGTTCGACGTCAGTGCGTTGTACGCCGAACTAAAGTTTTGGGCTGTTGTGTGTGTGACAAGGGGTGTAATGGCTACACCCCTTTTTTAGAGTCTTCAGTGAAAAATGATACGAAAATGAACGGAAAACAACTCTCCTCACTATGTCATAACACAAAGAATCTTTGTGTTCGACGAGGTTTAAGTTACTTGTTAAGAAAATGAACGATCGAGTAACCCATCGTCCCTTTCTGATGAAGTACCGAGTAACGATATTTAGTTTGTTCCGGAGGGGAACGTGTGCAACGCAAGTAAGTATGTGCCCGTTTAAGCTGAGACTTCTGCCAATATCACAAGCACGAGAGCTCGAGTTCGCTCCTTTGAAGCGTTCTTGTGCAGAACGAGCACTCAGGCTATAGAAATGCACGTATCAAAGCCAGGAGCGCGGGCTAGCTCGCGCTTGTAGCTTTGGCTAGTCCCAGCTTTAAGGGGAACAGAGTATTCGCGGTGAGAGGCGCGCTAGGGGCGCTTCTGCTTTACTCACTATGGGCATTGCACGTGCTACTTATGTGGTTATGACATAATTTCATAGTGCATAGAAGCTTGGCATTGCACGTCCTTGCACCAGCAAAAGAACTATTCTTACTCTGGGTTACGAAAAAATTCCACCAGGGGGCGATACCCAAACTTCTCGGCGCGAATAGTTCCCAGCCCAGCTCGCGCCTGTAATTCGCACGACGAGAAGACGCTTTTAGTGCCGAGATGTTTCGGTGGCGCCCTCTTATGGTTTCCATCCGTGACGTCACGACTGGGATTTGCCTCGCCGTGACGTCACCAGTTGTTATTCTGGCTACTTACCATCAGGTGCGACGACGAGCTCGGTGCTGTGTTTAAAAAGCACTGTGGAAGCTAGGAGCCATCGCAATCCGAAACTAACACCGTCAAAGTTGACAATCTGACAATGCTCATATGCCCATGTTTTGGCCAACCGTGGAAAACTGACCGCAGCGACGCTTTTGGTCGCGCACTGAAGCTGAGACTAGAATCTCCACCTTCAGCGCGAGCTTTCTGCCCTTGCTAACTAACACAAGTGTGAACGCGCAGGCACGCGCAACCAAAGCACTGCAGAAGCCAGCGAGCTTGCACTGAAGTGGAGCTTCTAGTCTTAACCTAAGGGTGAACGAAGTAAAGATAGACCATAAAAGGATCTGTACAAGATATGTCAGGATAGCCACAGTTATCCCTGAATCAACAAGTAACGAGAAATTAATAACTACGACAAACATTGAAAATGTCTACTACTTGATAGAAACGACACATTCCGAGAATACGAGAAAATAGCGCGTCAATTTCAAGCTGAGGTAAGGCATTTTTTACTGTTAGTAATGAGGAACGTATTTGGTTACTTTTGGAATGAGTAACGAGGAACGTATTTGGTTACTTTTGGAATGAGTAACGAGTAACGGTATTACAGTGGCTTTATTTCAATAACATCTATATTTCTGGAGGGATCCGAAGAGATCGGCCGCCCCCGGGACGGAATGCAAAGGCAACGGAACTCGATGGTGACAGCGGCAAATGATGGCGAAGCTCTCGCTCTGCTCTTCTTTTATTTTCTCGGTGACGAAAATTGTGGTTTACAAATTTTTTACTTATTTTTTTTCTTCTCGTTAATACTGTAGATTAATTACTACAGCTTGATTGTAATATTTGGAGCACAATCAACGTATGTGTAAATATTAGTCCCGCTTTACACCAGAATACAATACAATCCAACAATATGTCCCGTGATGAAAGACGAGACTGCAGTATAATACGATGCAGTACACGCAATAGGAATCAATAAAATTTCCGTAGGCAATACAATGTAATACAGTACAATGGTTTCCAGTGGCCCCTGATTACGTGCTGGCCCAGAGATCTGCGAGCTCATCTCGGGGTGAGTAAAATACTTGTTAGATTGCTTGCGAGATTTTCTGTTTCTTTCTATGCTCTCAATGCGTGACAGAGATGGTGTGAACGCTCCGTTGAGTTCTCGTCCACGTCGGGTACACATGCGGACAACATGATGCACTAATGGGCATCATGTTGCCCGCTTAACGAAGACAAACTAGCTCATTTTGAGTGAAGCGTTGTTGTCGTTTTTATCTCAAAGGGATTCTGAACCGGAACTTGGAGCTCAAAACAAGGCTAGAGCGATAGAAGGGACGCTGCAAAACCTCAAAAACATCAATCATACCGCAATATTCCTAACGGTTGGCTTTATTTTTGGAAAAGAAGTGCGCGATTGAACACGGCCGACGAGGCCGACGAGACATGACACGTCACGATTCTCATTCCCTCTCCTCTTCGCTTCGTTCCCTCAAGCAGGTGAACCGAAGCGAGGAGGAAAGAAGGAAGGCCACTTCCTCTCATTCTCGACTATTCCAGGAGGGTCGTGACGTCACATTCCTCGCTTGATCGCGCCCTTTTTTTTTTTTTAAATACGGCCATTCGTTTGAGATATCGATGTATGAGTGATGTTTTGCAATTCGTAGCGTCCTGTGAAATCCGAATTTCCGTTCAGCACCCCTTTAAGGAGGTCATATGTTACTCATTGTTTTTCCATCAGAAGTCAGTTCACGCCATTGCAAAAGGTTAAGGAGAGTTTAAAAGTGATAAAAGATTAGTTTTAGCATTTTTTTATATGGACGCGCAATTATGCCACTTTTAGAGATATCCATGTCCCCATTAATAACAAAACTAGAATCATGACTATAAGCATATCCTTTCTATATGTTTGTTAAATGCATTTAAAGACACGCCCTTTTTATATGGTGTGCCACGTTTTAGTTCACTTTGTTGGTAAATACTTCGTGAATGTCTCTGCAAAACGTGCTTGGTTTATTAGTTTCCTAGGTTTTTCTTGGATATAAATCTTTAATTGTAATTGTTTTTAATATTTTTTTTACACGTTGTAAACCTTTCACGAAATATATGGAACAAATTATTACTACATGCATGCTTGGGTGTGAAATTGACCACTCTGCGATTACCATAGTTAAACCTTGGCAATGTCCGGGCCTCGAACTTCTCATTTCATACCTCCGGAAGAATATTAGCCACAATCTTCACATATAACTGCGCGGTTTCATTTGGATTCAGGCAAAGAGGTGCAGTCGTGTTTCTTTTTTATTTTGCCTCAAATTTTTATATTTTGTGGTGCATGTTCCAAGAAGAACAATCCTTTTTTTTATTTTAATGTCCTGACATGTATAGTTTCTGAGGAAAAAAAATCTCAAAGAAGCGGGAAAGAACAACGAGATTTTGAGGATTTGGCGTTTTTTAATAACTCCCAATCTCAAAGTATTCAAAAAAGAGCGTCTATATTTTTTTAGTGTAATATATATGCAAGTAGGTAAAACGAAATTAAAACTACAATTTATTATTCGTCGATCCAATCTTTGTAAAAATCCCAAACATGCCTTCGCGAACAACTGCGACCTAAACTGCATATTTTTTTTAGTTGACTATATTAGTATTGCTTTTAAAATAATACCACCGTGTAGAACCTTTCATTGTTTTCCAACTTAGACAAAGTTTATGCCTGTATCACGTACGAGTACGGAGAAATGCATTATGAAATAGAATGTTTTCACTTTTCGTTCACGCTATATATATAAAAAAAAAAAACGTTTTTAATTTTTTTCCCTTGCGTCGCGTTCTTTTTACACTCTTCTTTTACCCAGAATACATTCCGTTAGAGGTATATGCACTGGTTTTGAGTTTTAAGCGTCCAAATATGCTAAAAGTGATTCTGTCTGTTATCAATATGAATATAGCATTAAAAATATTAAATTTCATATTTAAAAATCTAGGTTTCCAATAGGAAGAGCATTTTACTCTAATATTTTACAATATTATAATACGATATTTCCAACGTAGTATAGATTAGGTAGCGCATAGGCTTTAGGCTTGAGGTCTCTCCAATCATGGCACCGGCGGAAATTGTCTGAAAACCCGCTTTCGGCACTTACGAATTTATAGAGTGTTTAGACGTTTGGAATTGTATACTTGTTATTATACGCCTAATGACATGTCTTTTTAATGATTATTTGCTAAACGGCCCTTAGATTATTATAATAAAGAATAAAATATACAGCTATTACCCATAAACCCACCATCAGCATTTGCTCTTTTTTAGCATATTTAGAGGCTTAATACTGAAGACTAGTGCATATACCTCTAACGGAACGTGTGCTGGCCAAAGAAACGGTGTGAAAAAGCGCAACGCGAGAAAGAGTATTTTTTTTATATATACAGCGTGTTGAAATTGAGCAAAAAGTGAAAACCTCCTTTGTTTCATAATTTATTTCTCAGCACTCGTACGTGATTAAGACACAGACTTTGCATAATGTGGAAGGCAATGAAAGGTTCTACACGTGGTATTATTTTAAAAACAAAACTAAACATAGTCGACTAAAAATAAATCCGCAGTTTAGGTCACAGTTGTTCGCGGAGGCATGTTTGGGGATTTTTACAAAGAATGGAGCGACGAATAATAAACAGTAGTTATAATGTAGTTTTACCTACTTGCATATACATTACACTAAAAAAATATGGATTCTCTCTTTTGAATACTTTGAGATTGAGAGTGGTTCGAAAACGCCACACACGGCAATCGTCAAAACCTCGTCGTTCTTTCCCGCTTCTTTGAGATTTTTTTTTCTCGGAAACTAAACACGTCAGGACATTAAAATAGAAAGGATTCGGAACATGCACCACGAAATATAAAAATTTGAAGCAAAATAAGAAATATGACTGTACCTCGTTGCTTGAATTTAAATGAAACCGCCCAACTGAATGTTTCTCCCAACAACATCGGCTTTCACGTATATTTTCATATAAGTATAAACATTTTACCCCTGCTATCATTATATGAACTGACGTGGAAACACCCTAGTGTCGTAATATTGATTTGTATGAAATGACCTATTTCTTTTTTTTTTCTTTTGTCACGCGCAGCGAATCCACTCAACAAAGGTCCAATTTTCGTCGAAGTGATGATTATGAGCGACTATCATCACCACAATCACAGTTTCTTCAAGACGGAAGATCTGATCGTCTATGTAGCTACTGCGATGGTTTCGGTATGAAGCGGCTATATCATAACATTAACCAGATATTGATTATATACTTTGTTTTGACTTTTTGAGTCTTGTCAAGTTCTGACTTTTGTCAAGATTTCACTAGTTTAGGTTTAACTCACTCACTCACAACCGGCTCAAGATACAAATATCGCCATTCCCTCACCTTTAAACTCAGGACTAAAAAAGTCACAATGCACTCATATTCACCCTCGTCAACGCCCTCAGCTTTAATTCTTCACTCATGAACACACAAACTCATTGACTTGTAAACTCACGAATTCTTAAACTCACCAAACCCAGGAACTCACCGACCTCGTGGACCAAACTCACGAACTCACGCCGCTCACCTAACTCATGAACTCATAGACCTCGCGAGCACACGTCCCTGATCACCGATCTCATGCCTTTCCTTCAAATTCAAACTCCTGAGTTTTCGAGTCTTACTCGCTCACTCCCTCACCTTTTGCCTGATGGGTGAGGGTAAGTTAGATGATTGACGTACGCGTTTCCTTTGCGCCCGGAAAATGCCTCCGACTATGATTTCTTCGCATTTATTTACTCTCCTCAAATTCCGCCTGATGACGTCAAAATTTAGGAACGATGGAGATTGTTGCGGAGGTAAATACGTTGAGCGCTCCTCCACCGCAAAATGATCTGCAGGGGACCAGTCGACAGAAACTCCGGCCGACCTTTGTTGGGACGCCGCGATGCTAGCGACGCTTGAGCAAGTCGTCTGTTACGCAGTCGCTTCTACAGCCAACCGGCAGGATCGCGTCAGTTTGTAGAGATCCTTAGGTGGCTCCTTTGACGTCGTTCGTTGACGTTTCGTGGACACTCCTATGAATGAGCAGTATCCGCTGAACGGCTAAACACGTCAGTCGCGTTCCAGGCACCGGAATTTTGTAAAAGCAATGACATATTTCTTATGTGGATTGAGAATTCCGAACCACACGCTTTTTTCCAGAAAGTGAAAATATGCACATAGAGAAAGCGACGCTCAATGAACGCGCTTGTTGTGTCTACTCCTTCTACATCCTTAGTCAATTTGTTTTGCGTTTTTCGCTAGTAATGCATCACTAACCCGCGCAAGTTACCAATCAATGAACGGCTACTCCTGAACAACATTGGCAATTATTTATTTTATTGTTTTACTAGAATCAAGGGAACCATCTTGATTCCAGAATATCTATCGCCAGCAATGCCCTTTTTAAACTTTTGATTTGAATGACCCCTAAACATTTTAAGCAATCTTCTGCGAGAAATGCTTTCTGCTGATGGCAAATTAATTTCCGGGTTTCAGCGGCATGCGACTGTGTTAAAATGGTGACCTGGTTATTCATTTAGCTATCCGAACTAGATTTATTCTTTGAGTGCCCAGTTTTTATTCCTTCTGGAATGCGTTTTAGTATGGCAGTATAGTTTTTGTGAAATCTTCAAATGAAGGGCGTTGCAAAAATTAACATTCAATTATAACCGCGCTTTTTAACTAATGGCGTTACTGGCAGGCAAGCTTGCAGGTCGATAAGGTGGCCTAAAAAACAGAGTACGTCACACACGTGTTTTTGCTGATCCGCGACGGATGGAGCAAGCTTTTAAGAGGCATTCATTTGACAGCATCAAACTTCTTGTAATTATTTGCCAATAAATTCTAGAGCCCAAAGAGAACTCCTGCCTGCCGCCGGCATCACTTTTTCACTGTTGCCAGTAGAGACCTTCACTTTAAAACAAGAAATTGAAGAAGGCCAAAATTAAAAATTCAATGAATTCACAAAAAAAAAAAAAACCTACTTAAGGAAAATAGGGGACCATATAACATCGCCAACTACCCCTTCATTTTAGAGCGATTTCATAAAACGTTTTGTTGTGTCTTGTTCTCTCAAAATTAGCTTATTTATTTGTGTATATATGTATTTCTTTATTTCAGGTACTGCCAACTTTTATGGGTAATTACAGGGGGGGTTTACATCATGTAGTTATTTAAGTGCTACACAAGAAAGCTTTCAAAGTTGTATGTTTTACGTCGCCTGTTCCATCTTGATGGCTTTAAAAACCAATAAAAAATATATAACTCGTTGTTTTTAAGCATACATTTTATAATCGTACAAGTTAGCAACATGAAGTTATGAGGACGGTACAATTTTTAGAGAGCAAGTTTTCCAAATATTAACGTGACTAGCTAAAATATATGTATGCATAAAAACCTTGAAGTTACCTGAAATTTTGTTTTCATTTGCGAATAATTTTCTTATCGAAGGTAAACCGACGATACGAGGCGCTCGTAGAGCCCAAGGTGCAGTTCATCCTCACTAGTGTCGCTCTGGCCATGGTACGTACATTCAATAAATTTATATTTATATGCGTAGCGTTTACAATGTCCAATATTGCTCCCGTCTCATGTGATTTGTTTCAGGATGACTCCTATGTCGTAACAATAGACAGTCCTATACCTAACGTCCCGTACCTCCTCGCCGAAAATACGATTGAGAAATTAGCGTCGCAAGTTAGAGCAGGGTACATTAACGTTCCGGCGGATGTTCTCCTTTACGTCACCGGGTAAGCCAAAACTCGCTTTTCTGCGAAATAGATGGTGGATACCCACTATAAAAACAAGGCTGTGTTTGCAATCCTGAGGGCCACATTCAAACATTCCTGACTGGGTGAAATCTTTAATTTTAAGGATTCAACACAAAAACATTTAAACATTACTTATGTACCATAGTTTCCGGATAATTTTCCGCACCCCGTGCATAGTCCGCACTTAGTGCCTAGTCCGAACGTAAAAAGTACAATACATGGCACACCTTAACAATTGCCAACTGTATTAGCCTGCAAAGAAGCTTTATCGCACATAAATCAACATTAATATAGTCCGTTACTCATAAAATACTTCACGACTTGTCACAGTGAACGATCTAGAAAAAAAAGAAATCATTGCATAGTCCGCCCCTGTAGATAGTCCGCATCGGGTGAATTTTCAGTGTCCGGAAAACGGTATTAGGAACCAGTTTCTACGCTATCAGTAATTATTCTGGAACAAAATAGTGAAATACCTTTTTTTTTTTTTGACAGTTCTTGCTTAATACAATCTTCACGCCGTAAATAGGGAACCTTTTCAACATATATGGTTCATCGATCCTTGAATGATAATACTAAAATTGCTTTTGTGCTCAAATGTTATTATTGTCATGTCTGGTCACCTTGTCTAACGATCAAAAATGCCAACAACAGAAAGACATGACGCCCTAAACATAATAAAGAGATCAGTGGTTACAAGAAACGTAAACTCCATGTAGAACATAAAAATGACAAGAAAACCTAAGCGCTTCTTATCGGTTGTGAATAGACCGATCTCACCAGCCAGCTTGACTACGCCACCGATGCCACAATGCATCGAGGGAACTTTAGTGTTTCTGCACGTGCGACAACCTCGCTGAGGCTGAGCGCGTGTAGAGCATGAGGCGGCACGAGCCGTCCTGTGCACTGCCGCCTGCCCCCTGCGAACTAAAGTTATGGCGGCGTCACGCATGCGCCGAACTCTTGGTGAGATCGGTCTATTCAAAAGAATTAATGCCGTCCTCCCGCTCCCTTAGTTCGTCTGCGGCGTACTGGCGTGGACGGCCGCGTTTCTCTACTGCCGAGGTTGCGGCCGCCGACGATATAGATGCTCCAGGCGCCGCCATGTTTCTGGGCGCCGAGAGGAGCAAGCGGCCGCAGCGCCGGCGGGGAGTGCGGCGGCGCGCCGCGCACAAAGCCCTGGCTCTCAGTAGAGCCCCTCTATCCGGAGCAAGGCTGGGCAGTATTGCGATACAAATGAATCGAGATAGAATCTTAAAAAAACTTTCGAGTATCTGTATCTCTGTGCTAAGATACATTTGAAAAATGTATTTGTATCTCAGTAGTAGCGATATATTTACAATGTATCTCTTGTATCGCGATATTTTGCCAGACTTGGGTATCTCGGTAACATTTTTTTGCCGTTTTTGCGATACATTTAAAAGATAAAAACTTGTGTATGGTACAACTTTCTTTAGAATCTATTACATGAACCATCATGAACCCGCCCTATATCCATAATCCATCACAATCCCCTACATAAAGAAAAACCTGTGGATTAAAGTTAGTTAATTACACGAATAACAAAATAAGCTCCTTTCAGAAAGCCCTCCACTCTCCCCAAGTTAGCTTAGCGAACGGTGTAAAAGAGTTGAGAGGAGAAAAGGTATACGGCTCTGTTCTCGAATCTCCTCACACCCATGGGTGACTCAGAAGCATTTAAGAGACAGTTGGAGATGCGCCCTCAACGCAAATAATGGTTCATTTCGTACAGACGCCTTTTGTCAATCATGGCACACAGTCTTTACCGTTCAGCAACTATGTTGCTCAACGGGCTTAACATGTTTTTTTGTTTTTTTTTATTGTTACTAGTGTGAAATAAGGGAAAGTGAATAAAATTACACAAAAAGAGGAGCACAAGCATAAATTTTCAGTTACATTTGCGCGAACTACGCCCTTTCCACGTAGCACCGTTCGAGAACAAGTGTATTTCTATAAGTATCTTTATCTGTATTCCGGAATACCTTTTCGACGTTTTTTCAGATGTATCTCAGGGATATCCCATTGTATAAAAGACAAATGTATATTAGTATCCGGATTTTGGGCCTCATTGTACATGTGTCTCGGTGTTTGCATTCCTGAATACTTCTTAGGCTATCTCTGCCCAGCCCAGATCCTGGGAGAAGTTGCGCCATTCTTTGAACAAGCCGCCGCGCACACTGTTGGCCAGTCAAGTCACGTGACATCCTCAGTTTCCCAACCAGCTGCTACGCCACAGTTAACGGGCAGCCGCGCCTGTGGAAAACTCGGCCGGAGAGCTTTTCAGTCTTCCCTATGGAACGGAAAATGAACCTCGGAGAAAGATCTTGCTTCACCGAATCGCTCCAAAAGGCAGCATAGAAACAAACATCGTTTCCAGTTTTATTTTTATGCTTCCGCGGTGTCATTCCTACGCACTGACTAGAAGAAGGTTTCGACCGTCGAAAAATCGCTTTGCTTTCATATGTAACACCGATTTTCCGCTGCAGTAAGACATTTAGGATGGTCGGCGTGCTGAACGACGAAAACGACCTCCTTTCGTCCGCCATTTCGCCCGACCAGCGCGCCCCCTATAGTTTGCTGGAGTCGCGAATACTCCGTTTCAACCTAAGTGCGACCGAAGCCAGTGCGGCAAGCACGAGTATGCTTTCTCTCCACACATTAAAAATAAGTAGTGAGTCATGTGAAGTCGCGGAGAATATAATTGCAATTTGGCGATTTTATTTGATGATTTGAATAGATTTGCGATCCTTGTGAAGCCGAAGGGCAGACAGGTAACCACGAAACACTGACCGATAATGCAACTCGGTAGAGACGATTATCCAAAGCACTTTTGGGATCCACGGTTGGACGAACAGATCTAGAGCGGCTTCAGGGCGGTCGGATGCGAATACGGACTCTAAATGGGGTCACTTGCCACACTTATATGACGAGAAAAGTCCACACGACCGACACCGCGCCGCTCCAGCTGACCCATATGTCGAGACGCTTGGAAACCTCCAGAGGGCGCCTCAGTCCTATACCGGAAGTTAGAGGTGGGGAAAGGAGGGTTTATTAGAGGAGGAGGAAAGATAATGCGCCACTTTTCCCAAGAACGAAAGCTTTAACTCGCTGGTGACTGCTGCGCCTCTAGGTGACGCAGCGGCGGGAGTGCGAAGCTCGGCGCGCATCATCATCATCGCACTAGCTTTGGGTACCGATTGACGACGTTAGACCTGAAAACGTAACGTTAGGCCTAGCTTTAGGCTTAACTGGCCTAACGGCAGGAACTGCTTGTGTCCCGCGTCCCCCACTCCCGCTGCGCCACCAGCAGTTCGGCTGGCTCCTTAGGAACGATAAAGCCGTTGCTATGGAGTCACATGACGCGTCGCAGCCAATGGGAATTTAGGCGCCGTTTCGCTCAGCCAAAGGAATTTAAGTGCCGTTTTTCGCTGCTACATACAGCGGCTACAGATAACGCCGGCTTCGCTCCATGGGACAGTTCATATTTTCGCATTAATAAATGTTTAACAAGGCATACAAAGCGCGCCTATAGACCTTTCAATTTTATTAGTTGCCTCACTGGTGGATAGAGGGCGCTGACGCACTCGGCGCCATCAGGTTGCTTCAATTTGGTTGGTTTCGTTTCAACGTGAGCGCGGCTATGTTGCTGTTTTACGTTGTTTTTGCTTAATTTTGTGATTTGATTAGTTTCCTTGTAGCACACAACAAATGAAACAATGTTATTGAGTCAACTTGAGGACTACGAGATGTATTTTAGCCTAAATTGTGGGCTTTTTGTTTACCCACTCCTTTGATGTAGCTGATTATGGTGGGTTGCGAAACGCCTGACTGATGTACGGGGGAAATTACCATCGTATACAACCGAACCCGATGACACCAGTTTCCAGAAAAACAATATAATGAAGAGACTAAGACGTGAATGTAAATAAGCATATCGGCAGCTTGATCAGCAATGTGCTGAATCGGCCAAAACAGATGAACTCGCGTGTTTACTACTCACTGTTCGGTTTTCGTGGGCACCCAACCTTTAGTGAATTTCGCAGAATAAAACCTTTCGTGTAATGACGCAGATAAATGGTATAAACAAGTAGTATCGTCTCGGCCTATTTTTTAATTCAGTACTTGAGCAAGCTTTGACATGCTGAGTAGGAAGTTTCTTAAATTGTCAACCCTGCTGAAGTACTCATAAGCAGCATTTCGCGATATTGGCCCTAGAAAATAAATTATTTTTATATGAACATTTGCTTACTCAAGATATAAGTGACAGGCCCGTCAAATTAAATCTGGCATTTGTCTTCCGTAAAAGTGGCCAAATAAAATTAAAGGGCTGAGGAGGAGAAATGCCTCGGATAGTTTGGCTGAATTCTAGCCCTAGGCACCACTTTACGGACCTGTGTGAACAAATATTAATTTTTTTGAAGAGATTCGCTCTCTAAATTTAGGCATCGCGAGCCACTAAAAGTAAACCACTATGCACCATCGACAATTCTGGACAAAAAAAAATTGTTATGCAAACGGCTCTTTTTTTCTGGCGTAAAATATTGCGGATTTCAGATACGCACAAAAACTAAAACGGCGTACGCAAAAAAAAAAAAAAAAAAAAGCGTCGTCGTTATTGAGCATGCGCCGAACCCAAACCGCGTTTTGGATTTGCAAATAGAAACGGCGTTATTTCTTTGTGCACGCTATTCTAAAACTCGCTACCGTTGAATGACTGTGGCAGTTTCTTACGCGGGAAGTCCCAACCTTTGTGTTAAAATAAATTGAGTGAATGACACTGGTTATCTAAATATAATTAATAAATCACTTAAATGACTGTCGAAATGGAAGCGAACACGGTATACAATTTCTTAAACTTCATGAGTAAACCGACCAACCGAATATTCATGTCGCAAAAAAAGATTGAAAACCTCATCAACATGTAGGTGTGATATTATGAACAAACTATTCGCCTGATGTTCACGTACGATTACTTATAGCGTCAGATAAAATACAAGTTAAACATTCGTGGTCCATCTCCTCCGCGAGTTTCCTTACATAACCAAAAGCAACTGTTTTCGATATATTATGAATACAAAGAACGATACTTTCAGGAAATAACGATAGTCTACTTGCGCTGACTATTCTTGACGCCTTCTGATCCTAAATGCGCGATATAAATATACGCGCTTCTTACTGGGAATGTTCCGTTACTATTACTAAACAAACCACAGTTAACATAAAAACCTTTAAATGCTCGTGATGCTTTAGTCGTCGAGTAGACATATCAGACTACAGTTTCCGAAGCAAGGCCAGAAAGCGCGGTGAAACGCAACGAAAACACGGACACAACGCATCCGCCAAGTTGCGGAGGGGGGAGCGCAACAGCAAGTTGAAGCAACCTAATGGCTGCCGCGTCACGTGATTCCAAGATGGCAGCACCCATGCGGACGAGGACGAAAAGGTCTATTTTCTAAAAAATGCGCAGTCCTTTGTGAATTCACAATACAGTCATAGCGACAGCTGCGACAGTTTAAGAGTGCTTTATGTATCATTACGTATATCTTGCACTTAAATCGTGGGGCACTTTTGTATCATCTTATGTGGTCTCCAAAGGGAAGATATTCGGTATATGCAGATGAATGAGCCATTGCACGAGTGGTAACCTCGGTGCACCCCCGCGCTTCCCAAATGCTTTAAGGCATCATAAAATTGACTGCTTTAGTTGTTTTTGATGACGCTCAGCAAGTCTCTATTTGAAATCATGTCTGTTTTGCCTAGCTGAAAGTAAACTTAAAAAAAAAAAAAGTTAAACATTCGATTTATCATTACGATTAGCTTCATGTAATATGACGCCCCGGTCGTACAACTCAGCTATCGGCTGTGAAAGCAGTGAAAAGCCTGTGAAAGACGTGAAAGGCGGTGAAAGGTAGACAATTGCGGTTTGTGTATATACAAACCGCATTAGTCTAGCTATCACAGCCCTTTTTCCAACAAACCTGTTAAGCTTAAAAAAAAAAGCACACTGTATATAGCGATGAAATTACTTTTTTGTGACGTCATAGCATTTTCGATTGTTAAGGACGCTGGGTATACGCAATCAGAACTTTAAACACCTAGTTTTATTTCCTATTTAGTTTAGGATGACGAGCTTGTCCTGTGCATACAAACCTTTGAAGCAGGCTGTTAAAGCTTATAGCTTTTTCGAAAATAAAAAAAGGTAAAAACGGCTTTTTATATACGAAAAGAGTCATAACTCAATCGTTTTTTAATGATAGGTTGGACATGGGAACCATAGCGAGAGGCCCATTTAACCGGAGAATGCATGGTACGTACGTTATTTTTTATATCTAGAGAGTGTTCTCGAGCGATATTCGGCGTTAAAAAATATTCGTAAAAATAAAATAGTGCATTGAGGCTTTTTACAGAGATATCTTTAAGAGGCGCATTTATCATACTCAAATTTTATAAGCGCAAATCGAGAACAAAAAGTTTTCTCCACAGGAAGAAAAAGACTAAACCTGCAAAACATTGTTGTGTTTTCATTTGCTTTTTTTTTTTTTTTTTTTTTTGTGCACAGGGGTTGCGATGATGTCAAAACGCCAAGCTCTTATTGGCTGATAAAAAAAAAAAAAAAAAAAAAAAAAAAGAGGGCATACCTTAAGCACAGAGCTCTACCCATTATCACTTCAATCAAAGCTAGTCAGAGCTCGGCGTCGTTCCGACGCCACCGCAACTCTTGCGCTAGAAGCAGACGACATGCTCTTCGCATACGTCTGCAAGTGTGCGCAATTGGACGGTCTGGTAGCGCCGGCTGTGGCGCCGCGCCGCTAAGGACGGTCAGCAGCGTATGTCACCGACCCTCCCAACATGGCGGCCTTTCCAGACGGGCGGATTCGAAACCCGCGATTATATCAAATTTATCCACCAAATTAGAGTGTTGTTTACAAAACAAATGTGGTATGAATATATTAGCATCCAGTGGGTTAAAGCGAATTTTTTTTTTTTTGGCGTGTCCTAGTTTTTTTTTAACATGCTCCAACCCCCTCCTCAGCTTTATCTCCACCAGCCGGCAAATAAACCGTTTTTTCAACAAGTGATAAAGCTAAAGAGGATGAAAAAAAGCTATCAAATAGGATAGAAAGAAAAAAAAACGAGAAGAAAAGGGAAGAGATGAAAAAACTTCACCTGTATGAATATATACGACTGATTCAATAATCACCAAGCGAGCTTTTTAGTTTCTAGTAAAGTATTAAGGATTCTGACAAATATAGTGCTATGACTGACTACGGAGTACAACGTTTAGAAACCGTGTAGACACCATGAAAAAAAAACTATGGTTAAAAAGAAAGAAAAGCATCTTTAGAAAAAAGGGTGCCGCTTCTTGGACATGGTTGTACTCATTCGGCATATCCCAGCGGGGATATGCCGCCCAAAGCTGTCTTTTTCTTTAAACAAGGTAAGTTTAGTACCCTGAAGTAAAGCACAGGGCGATACGTTGAGAAACTGATTCTTTCGACTGTCCAAATTAGGTTCGAAGCGTTAGTGTAGGTGCTGGCGTTAGTGTAGGTGCATTCGTTAGTGTAGGTGCATTCGGCATATCCCCGCTGGGATATGCCGAATGAGTACAACGTTTAGAATCCGTGTAGACACCATGAAAAAAAAACTATGGTTAAAAAGAAAGAAAAGCATCTTTAGAAAAAAGGGTGCCGCTTCTTGGACATGGTTGTACTCATTCGGCATATCCCAGCGGGGATATGCCGAATGCACCTACACTAACGAATGCACCTACACTAACGCCAGCACCTACACTAACGCTTCGAACCTAATTTGGACAGTCGAAAGAATCAGTTTCTCAACGTATCGCCCTGTGCTTTACTTCAGGGTACTAAACTTACCTTGTTTAAAGAAAAAGACAGCTTTGGGCAGTCTGCTTATGTCTAGCAAAGAAAATTCTATTTCTTGGTCAGAAACTTTATTCAGGCATGTTATTGACTTGCCAGTACGTTTTCACTGAAGTGATTGGACGCTCTCTCTGGAAATAACCGGGCGTGCATTTTTTTCTACATCTCTCCCGGTTTTAAAAGAGCAACACTCGGATTTCAACCTACCGTTTCTTTGAAAAATGTAAGGTGCATGTTATGGTGAGAAACAAAAACTATAATTTGGGCAAACCAGCGCCTTTTTATCCGGAGAGCTATTCAAGCAAGCCCTATGATGATGATTTGCAACTCTACGCCTACCTAAAGTTGAAGCTTGAGTGATTTAGTTCGACATACAACATAAAAAAAAAAAGGAAACCTAGCGCCACCGTGCGGCGGAAACAGCCGCGAGCCATTTTCCCCCCCTCTGTGTCAGTAATTCTAGGGGAATGTAACGGCCGGAAGAGAAGTTCGCGCGCCAAGGATATTGGAGGCCGTGGCACGATCGTGTGCACAATTTGCGTATGCCGCTGCAAATTTTCCCGAACAGGCTGCTGCTTTTGGTGTGTGTTTTTTTGGACGAGGTACGACTTTCGTTCATTGATATTTTCACTAGGATTATCGGGGGCCGAGTGGGCTAGCGCTCAACAGCTCAGAACAAGTGGGGCGAAAGCTCGCGCTGCAGAACCGTGGGGTCCTGGGTTCAATCCCCACTCCTGCCCGTTTCGATCTGGATGAGCACCGCACCAGCGTGCGGTCGTCTATGACTACTGCGTGGTGCGCGTTAAAGACCCCAGGCTAGCGGTTCTACTGCACTGGCTAAATTGCTCAGCTACAGCGAGTGACTCGTCGCAACCTTTAATAGCTCACCAACTACACGCAGTGTAAATATCCCCACAACCCCAATTATTGATATTTTCACTCCAAGCTTTGACCACCTTGCTACAACCCTGTAGTAAATTGCAGCGCGATGTATTGGGTAACTGAATTTTGAAAACCATTTAAAGTGGGTTCGAAGCGACAAAAGATGCATACTGTTATTTCTATCCAGGCGTTGTTATAGAGGTGTGCGAATAGTCTTTCCTATTAACGAGCGCTATGACATTCACAGCCTTTACAGTGCAATAGAAAGTCATGACATACCGGCTTTTTTTGGTAATCTGAACATTGATGACGATGAGCAATTGATTTTAAGCCGCTTTAGCAAATAAATACATAAATAGTGTATGTGCATCTGTTACATTTCTTTTTCGAAGACGTGTGACCTGAAAGTAATAATGTCGGCAACATTGTTTCGCATTGATACTGTCTTTGTTCTGTCCATTAATGGTTGTATGACTTGTTTTCTGGTTGTGGTTCCTTGAAGCAAAAGACGTTTATTTTATTAACTGTGTGATGAATTTATGCGGCTTGTGTAGTGCATACTGTTCTTTGTCAGTTTATTTTATGCATGTACACATTAAATGAATATATTTTACATTACTGTGCCCAGCCTCTCTCCCTGCAATAATGCCTCTGGCGCTGTATGGTAATATAGAAAATTACCAAATAAACAAAATGTAAAAAGTCCTAATGTTTTTTTATCAATCTTAGGACTAGCCTACAATGATGCTCTTTGTGGATCCAAGCGCGTCGCCCAAGTCGAAGATATTGCAGGATCATACAAGATGATTGACATCACTGCGCACGAACTGGGACATATGTAAGTCGCTATTATGCATCTAGCAGCAATGAGGATTGAACTGGGCTGAAGGCACCTAATAACGCGGCCGGTTGACGAACTTTTCAGTTAACTCCCTTCTCTCCAAGTTAAAATACTGGGTGTTTTGGCGAAGTGTTCAAAAAAAAAAATTACACCATCTTCCCGAGGGGAACTATGGGGTGATGCGGAGCATCGCGGGTCGTTATAAGCGGTGTTAGTAACGTTGTTGAACTTCACGGTCCCGAACCTCAGGTTCTGCTGCTCGACGTTCACGAACCAACGCGGCTTCCCGTTCTCGAAGGTCGGGTTCCACCGCTCGCTTCGTACGTTTACGTTGAACTTCACGGTCCCGAACCTCAGGTTCTGCTGCTCGACGTTCTCGAACCGCCGCTACTTCACGTTGTCGTAGTTCAGCATCCGCCGCTCGACGTTGACGAATGGACGCCGCTTCTCGTTGCCGTAGTTCAGGGTCTGCTGCTCGCTTCAAGCGTTTGCGCTCAGCGTCGCGTGCCCTTCGCTGCGCAGCTTTGTCTTCAGTGGACGTAGCGTTGCTGTTAGTTTGTGGGGTGGTGCTGACGCTTGCCGCGGGACATAGACCCGAGCAAGAGATGCTCCGCATCTAAAATATGGTGGTTAAGAGGGAAAAAAAGTGAAAGCCGTTTACAACTCTCTGTAACGCCGAATTAGAGCGCAGCTCTTGAGGAGGAGGAGGGTAGGGTACTGGGCGGGGTCAAGTGACCTCGGGGGGTGGGGGGGAGGTCACGTGACCTTGGGGGGTTCACGTGACGTCGGGGAGGGGGGTCACGCAACCTAGGGGTCACGTGACGATGCCGATGACGTCATCAGTGACGTCACTGATGACATTATCAGTGACAATGACGATGCGGATACCGATGACGTAATCAGTGACGTCACTGATGACGTCATCAGCGATCATGACGATGACGATGCGGATGCCGGTGACGTCATCAGTGACGTCACTGATTACGTCATCAGTGATGATGACGATGACGATACGGATGCCGGTGACGTCATTAGTGATGTCACTGATGACGTCATCAGTGACGATGACGTCATTGGGGGTCACATGACCTCAGGGGAGTCACGTGACCTCGAGGGGTCACGTGACCTCGGATGAAGGGGAGGGGGGTCACGTGACCCCGGGGGGGGGGGCTCGCGCGGTGCATTATGGGACATTTCCTATAATGCACCGCGCGGTTACGCCGACGGCGACGGCGATGCCGCTCAAGCCGGAAACGGGCCCCTAAGAGTTGCGTTCTAAAAAATCTTCTTACGGGAATGGACAGTCAGCCATAGCGGACGTCAAGGATTAAAAAAAAAATAATTTGCTGAATAATTTTCTAAACTTTTCTAATTCACTTTTTAATTGGCGGAAATAAATATATGGTTCTGATTATAATCTCGCTGAGCATTGCAGAAAACCATTAAATCAGCCAAATTTTGGAAATTCATCATTTTACGGTGTTCCGAGAAAACGCCCAATTTTGACTCGTTTCTACGTGTCGGTTTTCTATTGGCGTGCTTCTTTGCGCCAACGGTTCTGCCATCCTTGGGCTCCAAAATTCTTGGATCCCAAAGTTCTCCTCCAGCCGTTCTATTCCCAGTAAGTAATGACGTCACAACATGGCGCTCCGTTCCAAACAAACCGTTGCTAGGGGTGTCGTTATAAACAAATGCATGGGGGCTCGACGTGAGGTAAGAAGTTGTCTAATAAGAAAGTAAATAAACTTTTTGTAAACATTGTGTTTTTTTATTGTCTATTCACGGAGATTTTTTCTATCGTTTCACTACCGTAAAGCGATGACAACGGCTCGTAACAAAAATTTCACAACCGGTTTTGCCTAGCTAGCAGACGGACACGATGGTTTTGCGGGTTCAGTGGTTCTTTCTGGGAGAGTACGTGACTGCGTTGAATGAAGTTGGTGACGATCGACGAAACTTGACATTCCGGGGTCAACTTTCTCCGGAATTTCGGAAACGAAGACTGCCCGTACACATCTTTGATCGACGCTCGAGTTGCGCGAGCGCACGAACACCTTCCCGTGGATCTCGCTTCCGCAGTGTTTGAGAAGGTGAAAACATTGTGAAGCTGAATCACGTACGACGACGACGTCAAGTGTATCAAGTTCAAAGTGCAGGCCAGCACACGTTTCAAGGATTTCTGACAGAACAGTTTGACCAAACGAACCGTCCGTAACATATAAACTGTATATTGCTGTACGCGTGCCCGAGAAGGAACGCTTTCCCCTTCACCCCGCACCTCCACCAGAAAGGTCGCGGATGGAAAAGACTCGACGAGCGTACCCTATTGAAAAAACCAGCTTAAGCTGGTCCCAGCTTCAAGCTGGGTTATTGCCCCAGCATGCCCAGCTTGGCATGCTGGTCATGCTGGTTGATCTGGTCATACTGGTCATGATGGTTGATCTGGTCCCAGCTTCAAGCTGGGTTATTGCCCCAGCATGCCCAGTTTGGCATGCTGGTCATGCTGTTAAACTGGTCATGCTGGTGAACTTCCCAACCAGTTTAACCTGTTTAAATTAATACACAGAATAAAAAAGCCAAGCTCGTCAGAAAAGCCAACTCGGCATCCAATTTATTATTTTCGTACTTGCGGCAGCCTCACATGAACTCAAATGCTACACATCCTCGGCGCTGACACAGTACTAACCGACGCACAGATTCTCGGTGCAAATTGTCTACAATGTTAATAAAACCAGATTGCTTATCTCTCAACACGAAAAAAATACTAGACACAGGCCAAAAACAGGCAATAGCAGACGAAAATACTACACGGACGAGAGAAGCGAACCTGGGTCCCGCCAGCGATGGGGGCGAAGCGGCAACTTGCGTGGTCGGCAGAGGCGAGGAAATCCGTGTGGCTTGGATGGCATTGGCGATACTCCTCGGCACCGCCGTCATTCTTGGGCACACACACGTTCGAAGACACGAAGCGACGCCGCAGTCGGGACGTCTGACATCTTCCCGCACTGAACGGACTGCCGCTCGCTGTCTTCTCAAAACCCGCTTCGCTTGCACCGTCGTTCAACTAGTCTCCAAACAACGCGCACACAGCCGTCCCTTCGATCTGCCCTCTGCCCAAGCTATCCAAACGCGTCTTCGATTCTCCGTTTCTACCACTCTCTCTCTCTCTCTCTCTTTTCTCGCACACAAAGGTAGCTTGCAGCGCGCCTGACGCGCCCGGTGGTCTACCAAAAACGAGAGGACAAAGAACAGGACGTGGCCTCGTTCCAGCAGCCGACCTTGTCGCGCGCGCTCCCAGCAATGCCAGTTCGGCTATCTCTAGCCGACCTTGGCGTGCGCGCTCCCAGCATGACCAGCTTGACCACCACGATTATTATTTCGACCAGATTCACCAGCTTGTCTCCCAGCATGACCAGCTCGTCTCCCAGCTTGACCACATTGGCTCCATGGAAAACCAGTTTGACCAGTTAAGACCAGACTGGCTCCCAGCTACACCAGATTGAATCTAAAACCAGATTCGAGTGAGACCATGCTGGTTTTTACTTAGACCAGACTGACCAGCTTAAATTCCAGCTTGCCCAGCTTAAACCAGCTTGATTGCCAGCTAAACCAGTTTAATTACCACATTGACCAGTTTGACCACCTTGATTACCAGCTTGACCACCTTAATTACCAGCTTGACCAGTTTGATTTTCATGCTGGTTTTTCCAATAGGGTAAACTGACAATAAATGCTTAACTGGAGAACTTGTTCCAGATACAAAAGAAGGAATGCGTCGGAACAACAGCAGCGTACGTCGCAGTGTCGGCGTCACAGCTGGCTAGAGCGAGAGCGAATGTGCCTTGTTTTTGGGTGTGAGTCGGCAAAGCTCACGCTCGATTCTTATCTACTATACGCTGGGCATCTCGAACGTTCGGCTTAAAATGTTCGATACTGACTAGGCAAGGTCCTTCTGGTCTTTCTATATTTTACACTCAAGGTAAGGGTAAACACGAGTCTTTAAATGTAAGGAGAAGTGTTCCTTCTCGGTTATGCTAGCGGCAATATAACTTAAACGATGTTATAATCCAGCTCCTTCGCCATATTGGGGTCTTACTTAATACTAAAGAATCAGTAGGACATTTGTTGAGTTTGATGATTTCAATCAGTTACAAACACACACAGACCCATGTAGCGAGCCTGAAAAACGAAGTTTGGTTTCTTAAACTACTCTTGTTAGAGTCGAAATAACTGCTCCTTCAAAAACGCACGTCAGCTGCCAGATAAAAGAGAGGGCCCGACGCAGTTTTTATATCATGTTCTAAACAGATGCTTTTCCGCCAATATTTTAGCAGATCTACATGCGTGTGATGATCTTCGTCAGATGGTATTGTATCGCACGCAAATACGATCCGTTTTTATGAACGAGGCGAGTTTTCTTAAGCCTGCCATGTTCCAAATTATTACGAAATCAAAATTGTATATTTGTGAAAATGATTTAAACTGTTGCAGACGGCATACTCCACTCGTTTCGAATGTGTTCTTCATGCGTTTGTCGTTTGTAGCAGGCGCCTCGAAACGTCCCGAGGACCAGAAGTTGTCGTCGCGAATATTTCACAAACAGCCGATTGTCGGCAAACTTCTTTCGTGATAAGTGTGAAATCTAGGCTGCCTATGTCTATTATTTTTAGATGTCTAAATTCCACGCCCGAATTTTGACCGATCGTCGTTTCAGAGCGAAATCCAGTCCCATGTATTCGTTCATAACAAGGCCCCTGGCAACGGTTTGTTTAGACCGGAGACGTCACAGTTGCAGGGCCAATAGACAACACAAAGTGGTTCGTGGCTGTTTCAGCCGCACGGTGGCGATAGGTACAAGGCAGGAGATATTATCACCGGGCCTGGTTGGCTCTGGATTAGCTAGCTGCCCGAATAGTAGAAATGCGCTACCCCAAAGCAACACAAATTACATTTTGAAGGAAACGGTAAGTTGAGATTCGAGTGTAGATCTTTCAAAACCGAAAAAAGATGTAAAATAAATTATTTTGTTCTTAGCCCGAGACTGAGGCCGGAAAAGAGGAAAGTTTCAAAGTAGAAGAAAAATGAACAGTCGAGGACACGTCTCTGAAATCACCTCCTTGTGGGAGGTGATTTCAAGCGGCACAGAGACTACATCCTTTGAAACAGCATCAGGAGGACAATTTTCAACCATATGTGGTATGTCAAACGAAGGCATGTTCTGGATAGCATCAAGATGAGACCTCAGGAGGGAAGGGCTAGAGAGTCACGCTTTTGTAGTTTTTTCGATAGGATGTGTGGGGGTTCTGTTGTCAACCCGGGTGGCGTAATGTTGTCAGGAAAGAAGCAAGAAGTGTTGGAAGAGGGACCGGAGTTTTGTCTTGATGTAAAACCGTCAAGAATGGATGTATTTTCACCCATACAGTCGGTTGCAAGAGCAGTCAGGCATGAAGAAAAAGCGGCGTTTATTGAACAGGCTATTGGCAGAATGGACAACGTAATGGGGAATGAATACCCAAATGAGAAAATGAATTTTCGTGTCGTCAACTCGGTTAGAAAGGAGTTAGAAAACCGTTCATTACAATTGCTACAATCGGATAAATCCGGCAGATTCGCGGTTTTTTCAAAATCGTCATTTCAAACGAAAACAGGTGATCTTTGTTTCATGAATGGGTTGGAAACATCGGGAAGTTAAAGAAAAATATAGTTTCGATTTTAGAGGAAGACGAATTTGAGGATGTAGCAACGACCATGTTAAATTTGTCGAAGTCAGCGTTGAACGTAAAATTCTTCGGTAAAGATCATAAATCGGAGATGCCACTTAGAGTGGTGATCAATGAGAACTTGGGACTTGGCAGAAGGTAGTCTCAGTGTTTCTTCAAAAAGGTTTAAAACTTGCAATTCTAGATAAGTCTTCGTCACTGAGAAATTCAAGTGAGTTGATCACGACACTCGAAGGTCATCATGGAAAGGAAGGAGATGTGTTGTCAATGGACATCAAGGATTTTTATTACACATTAGAGGGGAGTCGGCTGTTGGAAAGGGTAAAAGGGGTGCTTGAAATGAATTTGGTAAGGTTCCAATCGCGGTCACACATTTTGGTGGACAGTTTTCTTGCCATTCTTGATTATTACTTGCAGTCAACGATAGTAGAGTATGAAGGGAAAAAAGTATTTACAGAAAGAGGGAGTATGCATTGGGTCGAGTGTAGCACCGGCGTTAGCGGAAATTTACCCAAATTCTTTAAATTGTATTGTATCTGATAGGTTGCAGGAGCTGACGTCGGAGTCTTGTTTTGTGATAGAGACGTGTCCTCGACTGTTCATTTTTCTTCTACTTTGAAACTTTCCTCTTTTCCTGCCTCAGTCTCGGGCTAAGAACAAAATGGTTAAAATCCACCAGCTCGCCTGCGCACTCACTACTTTATCATAAAATAAATTCCCGCCTTATTGTTTTTAGGCGACATGCAGGTTCAATCGCATTAGTGAAAAAATAATGATGAGCCTATAACGAATCTCAATAAATATTCTGACCCCAAAGTATCCTTGTCCCTGTGAGACTGAGCAGGAGAAACGTCACGTTCAATATTCCTTCGCAGATCGCGTAAGTAAATGAGTGCTAGGAGAGGTACTTCGATCTCGTCATTAGCTTGGGACTTAAAACCACAGAATTTATTTCGTGATATCTCTGTTTGTTTCATACTACCAATCGTTTTTGAAATGTCGTTTTTCGCGTTTTTTTTAAGAAGGTCATGGCTTTGCTATCGACAGGAATTTGACGGCTTCGATTATTTCACCGCAGTGGAATTTTTTTCCGATGATCTTTCTTCTTGTTATTTGATAATAGACCTATTGCTATATTACCCAAGCATAAAAGAGAACGCAGGGATTGGTGTTCCACGCGCCGCACGCACGGCCTCAGCGGTAGTAACTTTTCTAAAGCAAATACCTAAAACAAATGGCATCTTGCACGCGCGTTCGTCAGCGCTTTATTTATTTATTTTTTTTTACTTCGAATGTGGAACACCAATCCCTGCATTCTCCTTGATGCTTGGGTAACATAGCAAATGGAGCCGCGTCTTAGCAGAGGCTGGGTGAAAGAAAGCACTGCCAGAGTCACGGCACCAACTGTGTGGAACCTGAGTCGCGTCTCAACGCGCTCCCGCGCCTGAACCTTCGCAATGTTAACGAAACTACGAGCTCTATGCACACAAGCATAGCCTCCTTTATACTCACAAAGCCTGGCAGTTGAACAAGAAAGCCAGAGTGCCCGGTCGCAGATTTGAAGCTCGATAATCTGGTAGCAGAGAGCATCAAAGAGCCATATCTAGGCGAACCTGGACGTCAGTGAACAGCTTTTGCAGCGGCGAGTACCCGAAACACAACACACTTGTTCGCCCGGTAGTATGTTTCGTCGTCTCGCCGCAACGTGTGTTTCGGCGTCTCGCCGTAGCGGGGCGCCAGTCACGTGGCTCTCCGCTTATTCGTTGTCTGCCACTCCACTTTTCCCATTTCGGCGGCCGCTTCTCGTGGCGATCTGCCAGGCTTTGTCGGTATATAGGAGGCTATGGAACAAGGTATGTCATTATAGCCACATATATTCCTGAATAATGCGCTGACGTAACACGTTACTTTTGAGCTGAGGTAACACGTTCTTTAAGATCTGAATAGCAACTAATCTACTGAGTTATATTTGAGCAAGTTAGGAGTAGCGATATCGAGTTACTCTATTTCAGTAACGTGTACATGCTTGCATACAACGCAACTGAAGAGGCTACGTTGTATTTTTATCTTGAACGAGACGAACTCCTGTGAAATAGCTTCAAAACCTTTCATGCGGGATGTATATTCTAGCGGTTTAAAAAGTTGTCACGAAGTGTCGATAAGTGACGAATAATACGAGTGATCAAATTTTTGTGTTAACTCTATAACATTATAAAATATTAGTCGTGTCGCATATTAAAAAAAAGTGTTACCTTTTTTATGTAAACTACTTTTAGATGCGGCAGCCGCCATGATGGCGAATATCCGAATAGGTGTGATCCTGGTGCTGGGTACATTATGAGCCCTGTCGCACGCGGCTTGCAGAACTCCATATTTTCCGAGTGCTCAATTAAACAGATTACACAATTTATGAGGTGAGTATTCAATAGATATAGTAACTTTTGAACATAATTTGCTTGTTTGCAAGTCTTGCGGTGATCGTATGTTAGAGCGTTGGACCACCGGTTAGCTGTTCAGACTTGAACGTCAGAAATCTGTAATATCACCGTCACGAAAACATCAGAGATAAAAATGTGCTGCGTTTTCTGACGTAGCCAGTCTTCAGGGGATAAATTAAAACATAAGGGAATAAGTTGAACGAAAATGGGGAAAATCTGTTGGTTTTCTCAGACAAATTCAGAAGCGATGTGCTTCAAGCGTTAGGTCCCAAACGGTTATACCCACGTACGCACCTTAAGTGACAGCAGGGTGGGGAATAAAACCAAGATGATTTGAATCGTGATTTAAACCGGACACAGTTTTACTATGATGAAAAGAACTAAACCTTTTCCCAAAAATAATCTTGGAAAAATATTTTATTTACAGCTTTCCTTTCATTTGATACTTCCTAAATAAATTTGTTTTGTGCTGTAATAAACCCTTTCCGTATTTCAGTCTGGCAACTTTGATAAGTATCATCATTTAAAAAATGGCATATGTGCTATACTAATGGCGGCCTTCCGTTTAGTGATGAAGGAAGAAGTTGAAGATGCTCCTAAGCAGATAATTCGATGCCTATACATTTTAGACGTTAGCGCGGCGTGAAGCAGGAATTGGATGCAAGAGCTGCGTAAGCGTTCATTTCTAACTCGGGCCCTGTCCATCTCTTAGTAGCACACACTGGGCTTCAAACCCCTTTGATGCATAGAGTTTTGTCAAGCTGGGCTTGCACTTCGTTCTCAATGGTTGCATCTTTTTCGCCATCGACACTGAAAGAGATTGGAAAAGAACTGTACAGTGAAGGGCGCGCGTTCTCGTTTACCGTTGACTTGCGAAAGTAACGGTACCCCATAATATACTGCAGACCACAGGTTCATGGCCGCCATTAGTACGGTAAAAGTTAAACTGCCATTTGAGTCACCAGATGGCTCTGAATTCCGGAAAGGGTCTATTAAATAATCATCAACTGAGAAATATTTATACCAGGCTGGACGTAAGTAAAAGGAGGTTACGTAATTGAAAGTGGAAGGTAGAAAGGAAGCTCACTGCTTCGATCTGCTATTCTTAACAAATTGGAGCATTGAGGTTTCTTTCTACCTCCCCCTTTGTTCTTCAGTTCCACAACGTCTTATCGCAAATTAAAGGGGCCATGAAACGAATTTTGGATTGGGATGAATGATTTTAAATTGGGACTTTACTAATCGCATATCGTTTAGTTGGCCAAAAGAAAGAGGCTAGAAAGTCAAAAGCCAGCTTTTCGGTACGAACATTTGAAAATATAGCGAACTATTTTGTACCTTCTTGCCTTCGAAAGCTCTCCGCCTTTTCACTATGATACATCCGCGGTTCCAAAAGCGCGTCACCGGCGCCAAACTGACGTCAGCAGAGCCCAGCTCACGCATTGGACACGAGAACTGCGTCACTCGGACGTATCCGCTCGTCAACAATCAATCCGCCGACGAATATTTGGATTCACGTTCGTGGCCAATGAGTGCCCTGACAGAACTTATTGTCACTGGGGAATGACAGGTTCTATGGGGGGATCGGTGGCCGAGTGGTTTAGCGCACACCAGCTCGGAGCACGTGGAGCGAAAGCTCGCGCTGCAGAACCCAGGGATCCTGGGTTCGAGCCCCACCCCTGCCCGTTTCGATCTGGATGAGCATCGTACCGGCGTGCGGTCGTGTGTCACTACTGCGTGGTGCACGTTAAAGACCCCAGGCTAGCGGCTGTACCGCACTGGCTAAATTTCTCATCTACAGCTGGGAGACTCGTCGCCCCTGTGAGGCAGACCAAGTTCTAGGCTGTATAAACATACACACAACCCAATTATTACAGGTTCTATGGTGTGCATAAAAAGCACGGTGGAACCACGAGTCATCGCATCGGTGCCGAAGGAATGTCACGACCACGTGATTTCACAATTTGTATTTGAGTTGAGGAATAAAGCTAAGGAGGAAGAAGTAGGAAAATCGTTTCATGACCCCTTTAAGGCCTAGTCCACACATCACCGTTTTCTTACGTAACGCATAAGTCACCGAAGCATTCGTGTCCCAAATGTCGCGTGCCGGGCTATCTCCTGTTACTAACAGCCACGTTCAATATAAAGCACAGATGTCAAGTTTAATTCTGGCGTAAGCAGACGTAAGTTTTTGTAACGTAGCACAACGTAAGAAAAAGGGCCTGTGCAAACTACACTGAATCCCGAGAAAGTAGCGCCATTGCCTTCCCTGCCTGCTAGCCGGGAACAAAGAGATACTAATGGCCCGTTCACACGATGCATTTCTCTCGCACATCTAGTATCGCAAAACGTAGTTTCGCGAAATGGTTCCGCCGTCTGAACGAGTCCGAAAAGGACGCGCGCATCTAAAAAAAGTTGCGCGCACACCTCGCTTCTGGAGCGAGCTTTTGCTAAAACTTTGCCGAGTCCTGTCAATCACTCTGAGGGCGCCGCCAATGGCCGCTCAGAAACGCTCACACGTGGCTTTTGAGCGGGGAGCGAGCTGTTTGAGAAGACCACTTCACTGCCGGTGTTGTAGCCGAGCCAAATCCGAAAAAGCCGAAACCACGAACGATGGATACTGCCGGCGCTTCCGCAAGCACGTGAAGCACCACTGAAGGAAAAGTGAGTAGCATATCGGAAAAAAATCCAGCGATGGGCGAAGACAATTAGGCCTCATTCATACAGCCGGCGTCTCGCTCCGTCCCGGCGAAAGCGCCGTGGGCGCCGTGCCGAAAACGGGACAGTGCGGGGACGGAGGAGTGTTCGAACCAGCGGCGGCGGAGCTGCCGGCGATGCTGGCGGCTGTGCCCCCTTATATCGGGCGGTGTTTAGAATGTGGCGGGAGATGGAGAACACGACGCTGAATGGCTAATGGTGATGATGATGATGTTGGCTTTCAACTGAAGCGCCACTTTATGGTCAACACCCAAACTATTTTCGCGAGTCTAAACGTCATCGTTGTTGCACGTGAAGCGGTACGCGTGAACGAGCACATTTCGCGAAACTTGAGTGTCGCGAAACTGTTGCGCCCCTAAAAGATGCATCGTGTGAACAGACCTTAACATACAGAAGACCGAAACCACGCAATGCGGTTGGCTGGATAAAACATTTTATTTAGACTCTGTGCAAATGGTGGCGATGGACTTGGTCACTGTGACAAAAGACTAGACGTCTTCAGCGCTTAGCGTACAAGGCAAAACAAAACAAATACACAAAGGGGGGCACTTCAAAGACATCGAGATGAGCGCACAGGGGGGCTAGAATGGCGGGTGGGGGCGGACATCACTCAGATTGTGTAAGGGGCGCAAAAACCAAGATGGCTGGGCCATGGTCAAATCGGACGTAACCACACGACCATCGCCGGAGGAACTCCTCTCCGAACTAGAACTAGAAGAGTACAAAGCTCCATACAACCGAGAGAGGAGGGTCCACATTGCTCGGGTGCGCCGGTCCTCGCCAACCGCAGCACATCGATTGTGCCATGGAGCGTGATGTCCGATGGCCAGGACCAGCAGCGCAAAACCACCACTTGGGCTCCGGCCGTGGTTGACGCAGTTTCTTATGCCCAACGTCCGAAACCTATGATGTACTAGGCCCATGAAAGAGTGCGCCACCGAACAGTCCCGGAAGTCGTCGGGGTTTGATTCCACCTGCCCACAGTTTGGGCAGTGTGGGTAAGGCACCCTGCCCCAGCGATGAAGGTGATGCTTCGTGGGGAGAACCTCCCAACCCTGGAGCTACTAAAATCATCCACAGATGCATGGAGACGGAGGGAAAGTTGTGAGGGCCATGGAAATACGCTGGCTCGCGCGTGCTTCTCAGCTGTGATGCGAGCTGCGGAGAGTTTCTCCATTATCCGGGTAGGTGGAACATCACGCACTGAGGGGACAGGCAGCGAGTGTTTCAGTTCTTCAAAGAGCTCCAGCGCCGCCCGGTAAAACAGGGACCCTCCACGCTCGGGCAGAGGTTACTCAGTGAGCGGGCAACGAGTACCCGACGCGATGGCCACAAGAAATTGAGCGCCAGGGAGCGAGCTGGGTGTTTCGGCTCGTCTAGTACCCCCATAATGGTGCGGAGGGCCAGAAGACAGGACGCAGTCTCGACACAAAGCATACCTCTGCCCACAAGAGACGTCGGAAAGCGGAGCCCCGCCCGGGTTACCAGCCCCGAGCCTCATTCCAGTAGAACCGGAAAAGGCCGGAGGTGATGTGCCGGACGAGCCGCGGCGGAGGAAGAGCGACGTGGGAGACAAAAGACAGCTGCCCCCAAAAAATCTACCTTCACCAAGTATGATCTGTCGCGGAGAGAGAGTTCGAAGGCTTCCGTGGCAGCAACCTGACGCTCCAGCGCGGTGGAAGCAACATTCCACGTGCAGGGCGCCACCCCACGAGAGTCGACGACGACGCCTAGGACACAAACCTCGGACATGACCTGAAGGCCCGCCGGCGGAGTTAGAGGGGTGCCTTCAAACGCCATGGCTCGATTTTTTAGGTGCTTAAAAGAGTCCCGGAGAGGGCACCGTACTCATGGAGAAGCTGCGCAGCAGCTTCGAAGCTCCGGGAGTTCCGAACGAACAAGCTGACGTCATTAGTGTACGTGGCAACAGCGACGGTGTGCCGGCCGGGAAATGGAAAGCCACGTATCTTCTGGGGGCAGGTCGCCAGATGTCAAAGCAGCGGAACCAACGGGTTTAGGCTGAGGACGCATAGAATGGGGGAAAGAGGGTAGACTTGCCGGACTCCCCGGGTGACTGGAAACGGCTCCAGGACTCCTTCGTTCACTTGTAGGTCGCTGGTCAGATCGCTGTACAATGACTGAAGCAAGGAGATGAAAGTCTCTAGGAAACCGATGGTTCGCGAAATCTTGAAAATAAAGGAGTGTTCAACCCGGTCGAAAAAAGGTGACATACAAGACCACTGTCCTCGTAACACATCCTTTGTTTTTTCCTTCTGCAACGCTTTGACTGACTGACCCGGTCGAAGGCCTTTGCCTGGTCGAGGGAGACGAAGGTCCCCGAAAAGCCGGCGAAGCTTGCGTACGCTAAAATATATTAAGTTATGGACAACGAAGAAAATATATTCCTCCCCGGTTCAGAGCATACGTGCACAGAACTAACGACGTCTGGTAGGGCGAGGCAAAGGCGCATGACGAGCAAAGACGCAACCATCTTATAATCGACATTTAATAAGGAAATGGGTCGCTACGCCGCAGGGTCAGAGGGTACGCCCCGCAAGGTGGACAAGAAGGTCAGCAAGAATATCCCCGAAAGAGACATAAAACTCGGCGGGTAAGCCGTCCGGCCCTAAGGCAGTTCCCGCCTTTATGCCTCGAAAGAACAGAAAAAAAGAGCTTCGTACATGTGGTAGGACGGACGAGGACAGGACCAAGATCGTTGGGACAGGCCGGAAGACTGTTACACAATAGGCGTACGTGGTCCACAAAGGTTCTGGCGCAAGCAGCGGATTCCTAGGAAAAAGGCCATAAATAATTTCTCCAAAAACCGTGTGGATGTTAAGGGTGTCATCAGAAAGGCAGCCATCCGCGAGACGTATACTCGGGACAAAGGAAGGACCGCTTCCTCTGGTACGCGCGTTGCGAAGGCAGTAAAGCACCTCTGGATCATCAACGGGCTGGTCCCGCAGTCGTTGCCCGTCGTGGCCTTGGATGACGCGCGAAAGAGGAGCTGGAAGCGGTCTCGGAGGACTCCCAGCACTTAGACATCAGGTGGGTGGGTGCCCCACCGCGGCGCACAATACAGACACGGCGGACGACTTCATTGAGGGCTTCTGCCGCTCTTCGCCGAAGCCACTTCCCGGCCGCCGTGAAAAAAAGCGAATATCCTACTTCAGAACACCTCTCCGGGAAGGCGACATGGGGGCCGCCGCCTGCAACGCGGAGATGGATTATTGCAAGCCAAGGGCGGCAGCTCGTCGCACACATCTGAAATATCTAGGCGCCATCTGTTCCCGCGCTGGTATAAAAACCCCATCACGTCGAAAACCACAAACACCGGTCGGTGATCAGAAATATAGCCTGCAGCTGTTTGAAAGGGGGCTGCTGTCGACGATCTCAGCCAGAAGGCGTTACCATGGCAATCACCATTTCGGCCCTTTCAAATCTTCGAAGCTTCGAGAGGGTCGCTCTAAAGGCTGGTTCACACATTTGCAACGGTTGCGTTCGCATGCAACCAAAGCGACCGTAACGACCAAAACACCGTAAAAACCGTGACTCATGGATGGCTTCCCGAAACGACCTCTTGAATCGCTTGCCATGCTGTGTACGGCGAACACTTGTCCCGGTGCCTTTGTCATTAAAGTTGTTTCGGTTGCATGCGAACGCAACCGTTGCAAATGTGTGAACCAGCCTTAATCCAGACGCACCAACATCACCATCACGGTGGAAGAAATACATTTAGCTGATGACTCTGGCTGCTGTTCTCGCGGGGAGCCAGCCAACAGATCGTGTTCGGAGCTTTTAGTTCCGATGAGCATCGTGGGTATGAGGTCCCTTCTCAGTGGCCACGGTGTCGGCGGCGTAGCGTGCTCGCCTTTTTTGCGGTGTGGTGGTGGTGTGCGGCCAGTGGCTGGCCTCGTGTTTTGCTTTGGTGCTGTGTCGATTACAGGTACCACCAAAAAAAGTCAAAGTCAAATTAGTCGTTAGTTCTTTATAGAGCAGGAGGTTAGTCTGCCAAAATATGGCGACATTGTTACCCACTGTAGATAAGCAATTTAGCCAGTGCAGTACAACTGCTGGCCTGGGGTCTTTAACGTGCACCGTGCAGTAGTGATACACGACCGATGCCTCCCTTCTGACTGCCCCGACACTTTGCGGTACATATACGTCACAGGGCACTGGCGGGCACTTTGAATTGGGCTTCGTATTTCTATTTTTGCTTAAAAAAACTATGCAACTCTAAAGTGAAACAAATTTTTCGTGATGTTTTGATACACCATTTTGACGCTTAGAGTTAACTTTTTTTTTTTTTGGCGTGTCAGAGGTTTTTTTAAGTCATCGAAACATCAGCACCTCAAATCTCGCGTGCAAGGCTGTTCACTGATTGCCACACTTCATATAAAGCATGGACGTTGCGGTGACTCTCGACGTAAGCAGACTTCACCTTCGTAGCATAACGCAACGCGTAAGCTGAAGGAGCTGTGTGAACCGGCCTTAGCATCAGAAAACGTAAGCAAACGCTCCTGTATGAATGGGCCTTTAAGCGTACGTAAGCTTCGTAACGCTGTGGGAACCAGCCTTAATAAAAACGCAAAAGGATGAAACGAAAACCGGAATACAGGAGGCCGCTTAAGCTTCGCCTTTAAGAATGGAACGCGATTGCTATACATATAAACGCACGCTCGTTCCCAGGCCGGTAACGTGTCTCACTCGCAAACGAAGGGTGGTGGGTTCGAATGTCACTCCTAAAATTCTTTAAATTTTTCTTGAAATTTGTTTTAGGAGTTTCTTTATAAAGTTAAATAATTTGAGACATGCGGCGACCTTTCATTCGTATTACATGTTATGTTTTTATTACGTTCATGCCACGCGTGACGTCAAATTTCACGTGAGCGTTGGGGGTTCCTTGGAATTCCCACTCGAGGTCATGTAGCAGTGATGTCATGACCCTATCGACCAATCAGGTCCCGTCCTACGGACGCCGACGCCGGCTTTTCTGCAGCACGAGCTCGTATACTTCGTTTCAGCTTCGGTCCGAGCGCCGCCGATGTTATGAGCCGAAGGGCCAATCAAACACCGCAAAAAGCGCAGCGTCATTGCGTTCTCTTTGCGCTTGATAAGACTAGCCGGCGGAGGAGCACGCACAGAGAGACGGTGAATACCGGCTGGTCCTATCAACTGCAGAGAGCATGCCATGACGTTGTGCCTCTCTCGCAGTTTGATTGGCCCTTCGGCTCATAACATCGGCCGCGCTCGGACCGAAGCTGAAACGAAGTATAAACGCTATCCCGTTAAAAGTAATTCCTTCTTGCAAGCAGATCAAAACGCGAAAGGAAAAGCAAATAAGGCTTTTTAGCTAATTAAAAGGTAAAGCTGTTTTTTTATATAGTGTGGCGGGGTTTATATAAATAAAAAGTTGTCAATCAAACTGTACTTTATATTTACAGTAATTCTTTCTTACACATTTTTATCGGTGATTAGGCAGATTCACTAATCAATCTTCCATGCTTAAAAATACTGTACTAATAAAGAGTAATCAGTTACAGGTTACGGTGCTTTAAATCAAATCAACCTGGTTTAAATCAAAGGAAATGCGTGCGCACGTGTTCGGCCGAGCAGCCAAGCCAATAATGAGCGGGGCCACTAGTCTGTGGGCGGGGCTCAGAGCGGGCCCTGACCTTCTATGTTCCTAAAATTCCTATATTCACGCCTTGCGGCGTAAATATAGGAATTGCTTTCCCGGAAAATTTATTTTATAGTATACCTGTCCCATCTAGGGCAGTTTAAAATCTTTTTATTTAACTGTTCTTAAGAGCTTACGACCAGCGGTTTTGAAAGCATTGCGTTTTGTAGTTTCTCATAAATATTTTGACTCTGTGCTTTACAGATATTTAAGTGGCGGTCAGCAGTGGTGGTTTTTTTTTGAAGTTTGTTTTAAAACATAGTGTAAACAGTTTAGTCCATTTCGTGATTACAGACAATTAAGTTGTAATTATTATTTGTATAAATCAACCCTGCATAGCCACCTGCCCCTAACCTGTATTGAAGTGATGCGGACGGAAAATCTTCTGCACAACGCCACAGAGCTTCCAGGAACCAAAATGAACGCGACGACTTTATGTGAGAGGCTCTATCCTAACGGAGGATATGTTGCACAGGTAAGACTTCAGAACACAATTAAACCTGTGTTTTTTTTTTCTTTTCTTTTTTTCTTTTTGTGTGCACGACATTTGTATTTGGTTCTGCAAGGTACAATTAGATTGCTCTTAGTAATGAACTTTTCAATAAAAACTTCGATATGAAACAAAAAGAAAACAAAGAAAATCAATGAGAGTGCGGGCGAGTTCGTAAAAGCTTACCTGTTTAATATTGCCACGCGCGTTCGCAATCAAGCACGCCCGTGGCCGAATGGCTACCGGTCTTGGCTCCTACGCAAAGGGTTCGAGCTTCGATGCCTGGAAGAAGACGCGTCTTTTTGCCATTTCTGTAAATGTCGCATTCTGGTGAATTGGAGAACATTGTTGTTTATTCTAGTCCGAATGTTCTACGCGTCGAACATTCTACGCCGATTCTTCCGGCAGCCCACGCGCGCTTACATAAGGGGCTTCGCGTGGCGAGCCAAAGTCAGTCTCTCCCCAGCGTTCGGCTCTGCTGTTACGCCGACCTCACATTGACGTACATAAATAGAAAAGGAACAGTTTCTTTATATCGCGACACACGACATGAGATACAACATTTCCAGAGACTCCTCTCAGTGAGACTTGTGGTGTTTAACTGCGCTCGCCAAACTACGGACATCCACATTCAAGCTACTTACTGCGAGTCGCAAAACATTGTGGAAGTTCTCGTCAGTCATTCGTGAAGGCAGGCAACGGGCAGCGAATTAGACAACTTTATCTTTTTTTTTAGCTTACCGTGTTTTGGAGGGGAAGGGGGGGGGGGGCGCTGGGAGGCTAGGGGCCGCCCGCATGATACCGCCTCGCGGGCCGGATCCGGCCCGCGGGCCGCTGGTTGCCGACGACTGGGCTAATGCATAGACGCCATTTTACCGCCCAAGTCACGCACTGAGTGCGTGAGAGCGGCACGCGCTTGCACGTTCATGGCAACAATGGATGTCTTCACCCTGAGACAGACATGTACCCTAGCGTATCTAGTTTCGTCCGCCTCCTCCTCCTGGCGGTTTCTATCGTGTGCTAAACAGCTTCGCTGGTCATCCGCCTTAACAGAGTGGAATGGGTTATGAGTTTTCTAAAGACATATTTATGTTTCTAAAATCATGTACGTCTTTTTATTGCATCAGACGCCTCTAAGAAAGTATCATGAAAAAATAAAATGAACTGGAAAGAAAAGCAATGATTGCCCTCAAGAAAGCCTGTTAATTAAATGAACTTGGTTTGATTTTTACAGGATCCATTGTACTATCCAAATTGTCGAGTATATTGCTTCAATCCTCAGATTCATAACTATGTTTATCACGCTGTGATAGATGGAATGCAGTGTGCAGAAAGAATGGTAAGCCTAATTTAAATATTTTTTTAAGTAAGAAATCCTTGACCTCATGTGAGGCGAAATATTAGTTTTGAAGATAGGCGTAGTTAAAGTTTAGAATGAAGCATTTTCGATTTCGTGCGACCAGTATATATAGCATAAAAATAACAAAAAGAGTTTTTTTTTTTTTTTTTCAATTGCCATATGTCGCACTTACACTGCAGCTTTCAAGTAACCTTGTATTCCGACCAGCCTGATTACATATCCAAAGAACCCCAAAAGCTTAATTTTTTTTTTTAATTATGACGTGTGATAAGCATTCCTTCGTCAGAAAGGGGTTATGAAACTCTTTTCCGACTTTTTCCTGTTTAGCTTTTCTTCTCAACTCATAAACCGTGCATTCCACCAAACAGTTCAAGAAGACGAAAAAAGGGGAGGCCCCTCTTGCTCGGAATCTGGTTGATGTATCCGGACAGAGCCATTGTCCCCCTAGAAGATTAGCCCGTCGCTCAAAATTCAGACAAAAGTTGCTTTCCCCAACCCGTTCACCCCGAAGCTGACAGTGCTGTGGAAGCTACGTGCTCGTTGGGCCAGCCAGACTTGCCACGTGATCACGCTCCTTCGCGCATACACACGCGCAGAGAATTAGGTCAGGTGATGAATGGGAGGCGGCTGATTGGTCCGGCAAGCGCGTAGCTTCCACCACAATGTCAGCTTAGGGATGAAGGGATTAGGTGAGGTCCGGTTTCGTGTGACGTGCGTTTGGACCTGATGACGCGCTTTGGGGGCCGCGGAGGTATCTCCCTGAAAAGGCAGACAGCTTACGAAGGGGAGGAGGTACGAAATAGTCCGCTGTGTTTTCAAATTTTCGTACCTAAAGTCAGGCTTTTGACTTTCTACCTTTTTCTTTTGGCCCACTGAACGATGTGTTATTAGTAAAAGCCCAATCTAAAATGATTTATCCCAACCCAAAATTCGTTTCATGGGCCCCTTAACAAAGTGAACGCTGGAAACGAGACCAGTCCCTCCTTATCTCTCCAGCGTTCGCTCTGCAAGAGTGGAGAGAGTGTAGGGATCTAAAGGAAGGAGCTTCTCTCGAAATCCTAATACATCATATGAACAAAAAAAAGATAAATAAAAGAAGCTACAACGTACAAGCAGTTTTTCGATGACGCTGGAAGGTCTGATGACAGCCGTTGTTTTCTGCTATCAGTCGGCATGCACCACCGCGACGGACACATATTAACACTCATAGGGTGTCCTTTAGTCAGTTCATTCAATCAGAGGGACGATTGGTATTAGTAAGTTCCAGTGGCTAAAACATTAGAAGCCTCTTTCCTGCTGAGACAGCACGTTTGCACTCTAAGCAGTCTGGGGCGTCTGTTTCACAGCAAAGTACTTACAATCTGCCGAGGAAGATCGGCAGTTTGCCTTGTGACGCTGAACACTGGAAAAGCCTTGCGGAGTGTCACAACGCAGAGAGTTTTTGGGGTCTAGATATTTGTAAGTCACGTCGACTTAAAAAATGTTTAGACCCCAAAAACGGCCTGCGTTGTGACACTCCGCATGACTTTTCATATAGTCTCCAGCGTCACAAGGCAAACTGTTTTCCTATGTCTATCTTTTCAGCTTTTTCATCCGCCGAGCTCCCTCCACGGAGTGCATCTATGCAGAGAGCAAGTCGTCTGCTTCTTGTTCAAAAGTTGCGGTGCCGTCAGAACAACTTCGTGCTCTTATTGGCTGATTGAAAAATAAGAAATAAATAGTCGGTAGACCTCAAAGCATCTAGCACTGAGATCTACCCACTATTCTCTTCAGGCAGCCAATAAGAGCTCGGCTTAACGTTCAGACGTCACCGGAACTTTTGCGCAAGAAGCAGAAGGACTTGCTCTCTGCATAGAATCTCTCGAGTGCTTTTGCTAGAAAGTAAAGACTCCAGATTTTTTAGAGTGCAGATTCAATATTATTACTACACTTCGTTTCATCTTCAGCCCGGGTGCAGTCGACGCTACAGTCTGATAGATAGGACGAAGCATACAGCACCAAAAGCGCACTAACATGGCGTTCGTCATGTTTCTCTGCGTGTTCTATCCTCGCTCAACCAGTCATGTACAGGGAAGGCCCAGTGAATTCCGCCTATGACCGTGTTTAATTGGTCCCATCAGCTCCTAGCGTTGGCTGCTTCAGTTCTTTGAAGCACCTAGAAAACAAGGTCAATGCCTATCCACCTAAGAGTCTGTGGATCCATTAAACTAGGCGGCGCCTCCGATACATGCTGTGTCGCCTCGCTTGCTTCAGCATCGCCGCTAGCGTCTCACACCCATTTAGTTATTATAATGGACGCTAGAGGTTCAACTGGCGCTAGTGTCTATGCGACTTCCGGGATTCAAGCAGGTATAGCAACCAGTCTACTCTTACGGTACTCCTGTGCTGTCGTGTGGGAAAACGCGCGTTGATTTTGTCGCTTCGCCGGAAAATAACATGGAATACTTTTGTTATTTGGGTCGTGCCGAATTATATGTACCTTTATTATCATTGTAAAAGTGTAACTGCTTTAGTTAGCGCATGTTTATTCATCAGTGAACGATGTTTAACTTATTTTAAATAAATAGCGCAAAAATAAAGTACACACTGACGGAACAAGCTGGAACTCACAACTGTCGTTTTAATATTCATACAGAACAGGAGAAATGGCTAGCGTTTCCCCCTCGCCTTTCTTTTCGCCATAAAAAAAAAAAAAGCTTTCCAAAATGCAATCGCCCTAATAGGAAAAGGAAGTTATGTTGAAAGAACTGAGAAATAATATAAAAAAGAAGAAGATGATGTTACGTAAAAAAAAACTGAAAAATAGCGAAAAGAAAGAGGAAGTTGCTGACAGTAAACCACTGAAAGAACCTTAAGTAGAAAAGTTAAGGCAATGATGTTGTTTTTTTTTACACTTAATGCCACTGAGGGTGCAGTTACACCAGGGTTCTTCTTTTCTTTCATGATCATTACCTCGCATAGTTCCCTTGACTTCTTCTCACGGAACTTTCGAACGGCCTTCGTCACTCTCAGTATCGGTTTGCAGCAGCAGTCACTTATTAAAGAGGTACTCCGGCGATTTTTTGAGCTACCTCAACTAACTATATTTTCTGACTCCCGGCCTTTACTTGTTCCGTTATTATATTCAGTATCGCGAAATTCATAATAGTTATTGCGAAATCGGCATATGAAAATGATGCAAAAACCAACATTGAAATATACCCGCACTTTTCAGTGCCGTGACGTCAGTGGAAGGCAAGCTTGCCAGTCGAGCGAGCAGTCTAAAAATTAGAATATGCCAATCATTTGTTCCGTGCTGAAGCGCGGGTCCTGGAGCGAGCTTCCAAAGCATTCATTTGACATCCTGAAGCTGCTTCGAATCAGTTGGGAACAAATTCTACAGTCCAAAGAGTGAACCCCGGCACTTCCACTGACGTCACTTTTTCGTTGTTGCCAGTAGAGACTTTCAGTTTGAATAACACGGCGAGGACGAAAATTTGTAAATTTAATAACTTTGTGAAAAAAAGTTATTTTGACCTAATATTTGGGATACTATTATGTCTATGTTGTTTGGCGAGTTTAGCGAAATTTCAAGCAAATCGGGGACCATGAAGAAATCACCGGAGTACCCCTTTAAGTGCACTGCGTGATGCCCTGCTGGTGTTGATTTGATTGAAGACGCGTGTTCACATATCCTTCATGGTGTTCACGCAGCGGCCTGACTGACCCACGTATACTCTGCTACAGGTGAAAGGTATTTCATATAAAACCTGGCCTTGGCACGGTATACATGTTCTCGGGTCACATTCATTGTGACGTTCCTGTGGAGTATATATAATAGGACAAACTTTCTTGAGCTTCTCTGGTGCTGAAAATACAACAGAGATGTCATACCTGGAAGTCATCTTTTTTATGTTGTGTGATGCCCGGTGAATGTAGGGCCTCAACACTTCGTCCTTTGTACTTGACTTTTTCTTTCTGTCCGTGGGAGGTGACCGTTCTTTCTACAGTATCGTACAAGGTGGTGCTTGGGTATCCAGAGGTTTTGAGTCGTTCTATTTGGGCCTCAAATCTCTGTCCCACCTTGTGGTCACATAACTTTTTGAGGGCTGCGCTGAGACACTTGTTGATAATTGCCATTTTCATCAGTTTCGAATGGGAAGACTCATATTGGAGTAAATGTTTTCTTGACCGTGGCATGTACATCCAGCTCGTGTGGTTCAGTTGGAATATTGGACGTAGATCGAGAAATTAAAGGTTGTTGTTTGTGGGCATCTCATGTGCAAAGTTGAGTCGAGCATTTTCAGTGAAGATTGAACATATATTGATGACTTGTTGCTCGTCATTTACATGAGGTCTATTTTTAGTAGCGCAAGATAGTTGTCCACATATCTATATATTCTTGATACCTGGTTGTTGAATACCCGCTGGGCAATGGCTCGATCGCATTTGGACAAGATGTCGACAACACTGGTGCCACACATGATACAATGCAAGTTTCTTTTTTATTTTTCAGGTAAGTATTCCCGTTGAATGAGACGACTGTAGATGCCAGGTAGAGTGTCATTAGCTCCGAGAATGATTCAAGATGTAGGCTGGATTTATTTTAAAAGAACACTGTACCATTTTCCTCAATTCATTCTCTTACAGATACTAAGAGAGGATCATGAGGCATTGAATAAAACAAATCTTCCACGTCGAGGGAAAAAAACATTCTGTACAACTATGTCCTCATTTTTTAGATCATGTATAACTTGTTCTCAGTTAGAAATTAAGACAGGATCTTCCAGTCGGAGGTTTGATAGGAGATTAAATAGGAACCTTGACATAGCTCCTTGCCATGAACCTTCCTCACTTCCAGCTACACGGAAGGGATATTCCACTTTGTGTGTTTTGCCTTAAAGAACATATCCAAAAAACATTTTTTTTTTTTTGGAGGTGGTTTTTTTTTAGATTTGTCATCTTAAGTGAATGCACAGTTGAAGTGCTTTAGCTTTCAC